TGATAGTGCCGGGGAATAAGACACTTCAAAGGCAGTAGTTTGCGTTTCTTCAGATGCCTCGTTGTAACTGCAGTGACAGGGCTGCTGCAAGCACATTAATTATTAGTGAAGACGTTTTTTCTTTTGATTGCAAGACAAATTAAAACAACAGAAGAAAACAGGCAGCGTTGCACGCGACGTTAATCCATGGGAGAGTGACAGCAGCGAAAGCTACAGATAATTCGTAATGTGGAAATGGGGACATTTAATTTTTGGCTTCTTTGCACTTGGCCTTCATGCGCGTGCTCAGTGCTGCTGCTGTGCTCCAGTGCAGAGGTTTGGGGAGCTGTGAATGCTGGGCAAGGTGACGAAGGCCCTCGAGGGTAAGCTGGGTAAGGGACCACAATTTTTTTTCTTGCCTCTTGACTGGAAGAAACAGCGAGGTCCCGCAGCGGTTTGGCTCTCCTGGCTGGGTCTGGGTTGCAGACGCGTTCGTTGCCGGGGCGCTTCCATCGCTCTCCTTTTTGACAGGTCCACGTTCTGCACGTGCCCGGGGGGATTCAGCTGGTGCAAAGCTCGTCCTTAAAAAGGAATTTGTCTCTGAGGTCAATATGTGGATTGCTGTCCTCTAAGATTTAATGCAACTTAGTTAGCATCTTCCTAGCCGTTGCCAAAATCTGGAGTCAGCCCCATCAAATGGATTTTCCTTAGGCTGTTACAGTCCCTGAAACGGCCGAGGAGCGCCGTGGCCATATGGCACGAGGTGTTTAAAATGAAGTCTCATGACACAGTTTGCAGTTTCTGGAGATGCTGAGCTGGCGCGGGCAGGGGTTACGGATCTGCAGCGGGGAGGGGGACATCGGCGCTTGCGTGCCAGCACGAGCGGCGGTGGTAAACACTGCTGAAAGGAGACAAAGCCATCGGCGTTTGTGTTGGAGACCCCACTGCTCGTGTCCCCACCGGAGGAGGAGGAGGGGACCGGGAGTTTAAGATGTTTTAGACCTTGGTGTGCAGACCAAGGGCTTCTGCTCAGCTGGATGGTTTGGGTCCAGCTGGCAAGGCTGCGATCGCACGTTAATTCCTCAACTCACAGCAAGAAAAGCCTCTGAGGGCGCGCAGGGAACGCGTCCCTCCTCGCTCAGCATCTGCAGCTCTCCCCGAGCGCCTCGGGGGCGTGTGGGGCTTTGCAGCTGCGGCGTGCTGGTGGTGCTGGTGGTGGAGAAAAGCCCCCCCTTCCCCTCCGCTCCTTGACAAAGGCGGGCTGCGAGGGGAGGGTCAGCCGAAGGCTAAGCCGTTTCTCAGAGCTGTTCGGCGCCCGTGGGCAGGGAGAGTCGGAGGAGAAACACGTAAATATGAATTGCTGATGAACTCCCTTTATGGCACTCGCAGGGGGAAGAAGTTAATAAATCACTGCTAAGACTGAGCCGCAAAAGGGCAACGCAGAGTGTATCTGGGAAGGGGAAAGTGGGGGGGAAAGGGAGCTTTTCTGGAGCAGGAGGAGGCGCTGTTTTTAGGTCAGGTACCCACACAACAAAGCTGTTTTTTTCCCAGGGCTTCCCGTCTGGAGCCTGCCCCTCGCTGCGGAGGGGAGCCCAGGCCCCAGGCCCGGCTGCCGGCAGTGGCCTCGCTGCGGTTACGGCATCTCCGTGCCAGCCCCTGTGTAGGACGTGGCCGGGTCCCCCCTTCGCTCGCGCGCTGAGCAGGGGCTCTGCGCAGCCCCCCAGGGAAACGCCAGCCCCGCACCTTGCCTGGGGTCTGCACGCCGGAGCGGCCGGTGGCACCCTGGGGGCTTTGAAACGCGTGGCGTGGGGAGATGCACGTTCCTGCTTGCATCTCCCTGCGTGTTACCTCGACGTCCTTTTGATGTCGGCTCTAGCGTGTTACCTTGGAAAGGAGAGCAGAGGGGCACAGGGAAAAACACATTTTAAGGAAAGCAAAGGAACCAGCTTACAGCCACCAACCATAGAAGCTTTATTCGGAGCCAGCAGGCTGCACCAGTCCTGGGAAGGGCTCTGGGAAGTGAGGGTGTACGGGGGCTCTCCAGCAGCAGGGACAGCGAGGGGGCTGCCGAAAAGGGAGGAGACTTTTGCTCTGCTGTCGCATTTATGCGGGACGGGTAAAAGTCTCTGCTTTCTCCAGTCAGGAGCTGGGGCTTGAGTTTAAACTTGTTCTCAGGCTGCCTGGATTTTAGTGGCAGCCTTGCGAGGGTGATTTGTATAAATGGGCGCTGGTGGTGGGCTGTTGCGTGGAAATCCTCCTTGCTAAGGCGAATCTATTATTTTTGTCAAACCCTTTGTAATAAATTTTGCCCAGAGCCGTTATTGTTAGCAGAGCTTCTAATTATTGTTAGTAGGCAAGCTCACATGTGCTTGAGCCCTCTCTGCAGTGCAGCCCAATGTACTCATGCAAAAGCATGAAGGAAGCTTTGCTTCCATTTGTTCTCCTGTTCCCCCTCATCCCCATCCCTCGCTCCTCTGCCTTGCTTTTCATCTCCGCTAAAAAGCAAGGAATGCAAAACAAGCAGTGAAACCCTCTGCCCGGACCCGACGTATGAGGAGGGCGCTCGGTCGCGTCTCTGCTCCCTGGCGAGGGGGCTCTGCCGCCCCGCGAGCAGCAGCAAGCCCGGGCTTGCTGCGCCTTCCGGGGGCAGGGAGGGAGCGGGGAACCGCGGTCTCCTGCGGCGTTGCTGCTCACTTGTGCATGGGGGGCTTGAAGCCAAGCAAAAAGACCCGGTCCCCAGACAGCACCGGGGGGAGAAGGGTTGCCCCATCCTTCCTCCGGCGGTTCATCGGGAGTGCGGCAACTTGGGAGACCACGGCGGGACCCGAGGAGCTGCGGGAGGAGCTCAGAGCAAGCCGGTCCCTGGCTGTCCCGCTGCGGGGGAGGGCAGCGGGGAGCTGCGCCTTGCCGAGATGCTCGGGTGACGGTCGGGCAGGGCAGCGTGGTCCCACCATGGGGAGGATACACCCGGCTCTGGGAGTGGATTTACTTTCATTAAAACTCTGCTTTCCCTGGCCTTGCAGAGCAGGGTGGGACCTGCGGGACAGCACCCTGGGGACGCTGCTGTCCGTGTAGTCCTGATGCATCCCTCGGGGCTCTGCCTTTCCAGAGAGGGGTTATTAAATGGCCACTTGGCCGTGGTTAGGTGTGAATCGTGCTGCGCACCGTCCCCGCCGTCAGCGCAGAAACTGCATTTGGCTGTTGTGGGGCAGCCCGGCCCCGCGCAGGCCCCGCGG